TGAGTTCAAACACAGTATGGCTGACTATTTAAAAACCGGGGGTTTACCCTACTGACGTGTCAACCTCGTGCTCTTCCGAAACGGCATACTCCGACGTCGAGGCGGAACGGGTACCAAGGGAGAAGTCGGTTATTTCCTAGTCTTTACTTGTATCCGGGCTTGTTCCGCTCGAAAAGGTTCTGATCGGGACTTCGGCGCAATTTCACCTTTTTTTTTACGGTCAATTCACTAGGCGAATGGAGTGATTTGGCTTAGGACGAGGTGAGAACACACTTGTACCGCCCTACCCGAAGAGGATGTACGTATTCTACCCCGATGGGGTTCCGTCTGGAACCGCGTCCTCGTAAACGGTGTCAATGACTCGATGCATGTCGACAGAACCGCCGGGGAGAGTCTTCTGGGTAACGATCAGAACAACTACCGCGCAATGTCGGCGTAGTGGTTTCTAGATACTGTGTAATCCGCGCTGATCTAATCAGATACGCGACACTAGAGGTCTAAGCTGGCTATAGCTATGTGACGCTGTGGTTCGTCGCAAGGCCATGTGGTTCTCGATTTCAAGGACCTGTTTGGGTATATTGTTCTCACTCGATTAGGTAGGACGGAGAGAAGTTCTGTAAGTCTTTTGTATTGATAGTGTCCACTCTCGTCACACCTGTTACTACGACTGTGACTAGCTAACACTCTCTCCGTTAACCGGAGACGATATCTACTGAGACCGAAACTCACAATCATCGTAAACACATCCCAATCAGGCATAAACGCTTTGTTTTTCATAAAGTGAGACTCCATAAGTTTTGAATTTAATCCCAAAATTAGACCAAAAAACTATCACGTTGTGCGAAACGGGTAATTAGAACGAAAGATAAAGTCCACGCCCGGGTCTCTACGGTCTACCGACCCACATACGGATCATGAATCATGTGGTATAAGGTTCGTGGTTGGTAGGTGAGAAGAATGTTGTAGTTTCCCGGAGAAATACGTACAGTCTTCCTAGGCACGTTCGAGAGAGACTTTCCTCTCTCCTACGAATGGACGGAGAAAAACAGTGCGGAAGTAGACCCAACACTATGACAAAGACGCTTATCGACCGGTCACCTTTTGTTGGAATTAGAACTGTCCCATTATTATTTATATATAAGAAGCAAATAAAAGTGAATATAACCTTTGTCTAGAGTTCGACGTAAAAAAAAACGGTCCAAGACACGGGTCCCGTAACAGGACTTGTGTAACCTGTGAAGGAACTGTGTGTCGATGATTCCTACGCGTCACTAAATGTCCGACCACATGATGGTAGAAGGTCATGTAAATGGTACGTGGTCAAATGACGAAAACCGGACTTAAGCTGTGTTGTACAAAGGAGTGCCGTTCCGGTCGCCGCCTCCCCGACGTAGTTTGTCTTTGAGATGGAGTGTGTCTCCCACGTCGGACGTGTCGTAAGAGAGGCACGCATGATGTTTTGGTCCTGACCTAGGACAGACGGTCTCATACAGAGACTTGGGTCACTGATACTACCTGTAATCCACATGTAACCGAATACTCGGTCAGGAATTGTGATCTCGGGGTACCGGAGGACTCCTCCGAGTGACGTCAAGTGTTCGAGGTTGACATATGCCTCTAACGTCGTTGGCCGCCACGTCGACGAATTCCCTAAAAAAAAAAAAATACCGACAATTCACAGTAGAGTCGTACACCCTCAGACATTCCTTAAAGTACCGGTTCTACAGCCAGTACTACCACCACTCAGACCTCTTCTGAGTCTCTACTGAGGGCCACTTCACTAGTCGTGAACAACATGCGATGAAACATTGCATGTTTATTCGATGAAAACTTAAATCTTATATTTCATTCACCCGCCGGAAAAAAGTTGGTTCTCTTACTAAAATCACTTTTATGTCCTAACGTTAGTTGAGTCCTTAGGACTTTTTGGTTTCGGGATCAAAACTGGGGAGTGTTCGCGATTTATTCCGGTTTGTCTTGTAAAAATCTAAAAACCTTTTAGCAAAAGCAAAAACCGCCATGGAGTTGACAACTC